CGGGCCGCCGGCGCTGAGGCCGACGCTCGGCGCACCTGCGACCGCGATGCCCTCCCTCGACTTTCGGGGGCGTCCCGGCCCTCGCTGCGACCATCACAACCCCACAGCGTCAGCCATTGCAGTCGCACACGACACGCACGACACACGCACGACACACGCACCTTGGAAACGACTGGGGTGCCGAGGACTGGCGTGGCGGCGGCGCTCGTCGGCGTGTCTTCGTCGCTCTTCTGCTTGCGGGGTCGGCCGGGTCCCTTGAGCGATGGAGGCCGGCGGCCCTCGCGCCGGATGTGGGAGAGGTCGATGTCGGGTACGGCCGCCAGCAGCTCCGCGGCGTGGGCCTCCAGCTGGTCGGCCTTGAGGCGGTAGATGGACTCCGGGTCCGTGTTGTACTGCCTGCAATTCCCGACGATCAAGTCGATATCGCCCTGCGTACGCTCACCCATCAGACACGCCCGCACACACACACACACACACACGCACACACACACACACACACACACACGCACACACACACGCATGCACCACCGCACACGCACACGCACACGCACACGCGCGCAAGAGAAGCAACAGATGAGGCGCACCTGAAATTCGGCCTTGCTGTAGTAGTCGCCCTTCTTGAGCTTCTTGGTCATGAGGTTGAGGTACATGGGACGCGCGATCACTTCGTAGTAGTTCGGCGCGTCCCGTTTGTTCACCCTGTTCACAAATACGTTGTCTTCCTGCACGCACACGACACGCGACACAACGCGCGATACGCGACATACGACACACACAGTTGAATTCAGAGGGGCTCAGGGTATGTGGGCAAAGGGGTGAACGCACGTCGGCGCGCTTCAGACTGCGCAGAACATCGTCGAGCCCGCGGTACAGGTCCTCCTACACTCCCCAGCAGTGGGTGGAGAATCAGTATCGACAACTGTGTACGGCGACACACGACACACACGACACACACGACACACACACGACACACACGACACACACGACACACACACAACACACACCACGGTCGCGTGTGGTCAGG